AACTCCTCTAACCAAAAATAGTGCCGATAATACCTAATTTACTTATCAATCTGGCCAATTAATTAGCTAAAATCTGTTATGAAACATAATGACTCGAAAGGGCTATGCTTTCCTCATCATATTAAGAATCATATCTAATATCATGGATGAGAATGTATTCCATGCGGTTAAGTGCAAATAGAAGGGAAATAAGTTTTGATGGGCGTAAATTGGAGATTTTAGAGTGACGAACTAAAATTCCCAATTTGATCCAGAAGTTTGGAACCTAAAGCGAGATGTTAGCCTTCAAGTGAAGGGTACGTGGGAACTCTAGAGTGAGAGCTGAGAGCTAGTATCTTCCTGCTAGTATCTTCCTAGCCTAACCATGGATTTAGGGACTTAACTCTGGATTGACCAAAGCTCTTGTTGTACTCGAGAGAGTATAAATAATATGTATGCTCCTATTTGTCACAATACATTAATGATATTTACAATTACTAGATTTCAACACTGATTATAAACTCATTGCAAGGGGAATGATGTTTTATATAATTAGAACTCTTCTATACATTATTATTTTAGAATTTCTTAGTCGTAACTTTACATTTTATTTAGCCTGTTAGATTGTCTTAAATTTAGCATCTTACTTAGCATTTGTATTCTACATTTATTTAGCATACTTAGCATTCCTCTTAAAATTTTGTAGGATTAGTAAATTCACAAAAGCTTTTTATCATTTCTTAAATAAGTTAACTGCAGTTTACAGAAGATTTTACTAAAGTTAACCTTATAAGTGTTTTGTCTATCCCTATGGAATTGATACTTAGGACTCCAGTGGAACTTTATATTACTTGAAACGATACGTATACTTGCATAGTACCCCTAGTGTGTAAGCAATTTTATCAACTTTATATAATATTTAATTTTATACACTAGCCGCTTAATTAAAATTTGGTCAAACTTTTGGCCATCTTTCAGGACTTAAATTGCGGGTCAGGTCAGCGACCATCGAAGAGGGGATAGGACCGACGATACTATTTACCAACCCTTGGTAAGAAATTACCCCTTACGGTCTTAGGTTGTCGGTAGTTAAGTTTGATCAGAATGATCAGCTCATGCACAATTTAAATTTACTAAAAATACATTTATACACAACAAAAACATATTTTCTAATGATACTATTACTTTTAACTGCAAAACTAAACTCTACATGCATGAAAAAGTGAATGAATTTTAAACAAAATTATGAAGGTCCACTGGTTAATCATCTTGATTAGGCTAGAACTTGCCCTCTTGAGGCTGTTTAGCCAACAACTTTTGTCCAAGGTTGGAAGCACACAATCCAGCTCTAAGCCTCCACCTCTACTAAATTCTTAAGTCTCAGCCTTCTATATACACCATATAATTTTAAACATTTGTACTTTCCCTAAATTTTACTTAAAGTTTGTGAATATTAACCTACTATAATTCTATACCGACTCCTTTTGCAGCAGTAATAGAGGCCTGAGTACGCACATTTATATATTTACAACACTTTTACCACAAAATTTTCTTTTACTGACCTTTTAATGTTGCATTTATTTAATTGTGAGATCTTCAAGATAGAAAACAGTAGTCGGTTTATCTAGGACAAATCATTATAAAATCTAAACACATACCCTTTAATTAATTGGAACATAAAATATTAAACCTGGAGGTGTTATCAACGAGGAGCTTGGAGCAAGCCGTAGCAGATAGAAGACAACAATCTACAACAACAAAACAGATCTACTTCAACTAAACTTTCTCTAGAATTAAACAACAAGCCATAAGACTTCGAGGTAGCTCATCTATCACGACATAAATACTCAATTTATCTTTAGGTCTTTGCACAACCATTTTGTGCAATCTAAGCCCTAACTCTCTTTAGGCTCTGAGGTTGTTGTTCATTATGACATAAACCCTCCTATCTTTCAGGCTATTTATATGATCGTGTCATGAAAATGTAAGCCCTAAATAATAAAATTAGTATGATGAAACATCAAAATAAATATCTTTTCTAAAATATAAAGCCACACAATATAAAAGTTTGGGAAGTCACCGAGGTTCTCCTCAAGATCCGTGACATCCCCTACTTTTATTCCCTTTGGATTCCAAAATAACTCTTCCTATTTGGTACTATCCCATTTGACTTTCCATGTTCAACCCTAAAACCCTAAACGTTGAATTTTTGAAGACAAATACTTTTGATCATCATCGAGAATCTTCTCAAGAGACTTCAGTCATTTGAGATGTAATTAACTATAGGGACTTGTCGTTATAGGGGGCTTTAGAACCCAGGTAATATAAACCCTATATAATCTTTTATACTAGGCGCCGGATTCGGGGCGCCAAGGTGATCCATTCAAGTGCCCTAGCACCGCTTTTGGGTACTTAAGCATTAGGACTCTGCACATCCTCTTGAGAAGGCGACACTTAGGTGCAAATTTTTGGGCGCCAGGGCACAACCATTTTCTGTTGTTGTTGAACTGCAACTTTAAGAGTTATTTGGTGGTTTTAAGCATTTTGACAAGGGATTTGGCAAGGAGAGAAGAGAAGAGGAATGAAGGAGAAGCACTAGGGAGCAATAGGATCATATGAGAAGCCAAGGAAAGTGTGGAGGAAGGCCAAGAAATTCTAGGGAAACTTAGGGTTTGTATGTTTACCACCTATTCTTGAGTGCTTGATGATGTTCTTAAAAGAATACTGTAAGGGTATCAATTCATCAGTGCAAGGAGGACTTGGATCCAATGTTGGGATAAAGCTAAGTATTGCATTTACATTTATCCTGTAATTGTTGTATCACATACGTAGTGGATTATTTTGTTGTTTGATGATGATTTCCATCATGTTTTTCATGCTTAGTGAGTAGGTTTCCTTTATCTTTCTCTTGTGATGCATGTGTAGGATATGTAGGATGCAAAGATACTTATAGAATGGAACTTCTAATATTAATGTGATGGTTTTTACTTCATGCGTAATTTACTAACCAATTTAGTCAATTGGTGTGTTAAAACTTGTTTTAAAGCCATACAGATCCGGGAGGACTGAATTTTTCAACTAGGAAAACCCACATTGAACTTATGGGTGAACAAAAAGTACTCCATAGGACAATGCAATTAAATAGGGATATAATTTTTAAGAGGATTTACCTTAGGAGTTCCTAGGGTGACATGAAGAAACACTTACTAAGTTAAACCAAACCTTATTACACACTCGGAATATGGTAACTTAGATTCATGCTCCTATTGTCACTAACTGCATTAGATTCTTAGTATCCTATCCTATATTTCCACTTATGCACTCATAAGATATTGGTGTCTTTTATATCTTGATGTCACCAAAAACCAATAAGAATAGTTAGAATTAGCCTTTAAATTTAATGCAGTAATTTAGGAGTAACTGTTAGGAAGATCGCTTTAAATTGCATTCTAAACTAAAACCCTATTATAGTAAACTAGAACTTCTTTGATTAGAGCTATTACCACCTTCCTTGTAGGATCGATATACAGACTCAATAGCGACCCGTATTATTGAAATAGTATGTATATTTGCGTGAGAAACCACGGTGTGTAAGACTTTAAATTTAAGGATTTAATCAATTTATCAAGAAGTGGATCAAGATTCTGGTGAGAATACTAGGACTTATATCACCGTGACATCAAGCTTCTCCTCTTTTTTAATGTTCTTTCTTATAGGGTGATACCCTAAGAAGGCATCAAGATAACCAAAATCAAGAATCTAACTACGAAATCCATCATGTCATTACTACTTAAAAATATGCATGAATCATTATAATTACTATCCTAAATGTTTTTTTGAAATGATGTGCATTTGGTAATAAAGGAATCCGTTGATGTAGTTTGCTTTTTGAATGGAATTAGTTTTAAGATTCACGACCTTTACTGTGATTATTGCTTTGATTTTCTCTATGATTTTTTTTTCTATATAGATGGTATTTTGGATTGGTGGGAGGGGTTGTTAAGGTGCAAGACCCTTGGGTCCATCGAAACCCTCTCAAATGAACCTCATGTACCATGATTTTTTTAAAAGAAAATAAGCTGAGAATTAAATTTATTACTTTTAAAGGCAAGTATTTACATAACTACTTTCTATAGTGCTTTTGGTTGGAAGCAAATATCTTGATGGATTCCTCCTCCTTTTTATGGTAGTGCTATCTTTAATGGTAAATAGATAATAATTCTTTATTGGATTTGCTCTTTGAAGTTAGTGGTGTCTATCCCAACATAGGGGAACTTAACAATAAGGCATCAAGTTGAAATGGTGGCTCAAAAAAAGTTAAGTTGATTCCTTTCATATATATTATTATATAAAGAAGGGATTTAATAATAACAAAATAACTACCAATTTTCTTAAACATTATTATTCCTGAAAATAAGGACATCACCTTTAGCTATGAAGAAGCTAACAACAAAAACCTCCGTAATCCAAAAGTTCATTTTAGTTGACTTAATTCTCTCAACAAGCTTCAAAATAGATATTGATGGAGCTACTAATATCAATGATAGCGATTAATGATTGAGCCATCTCCGTAGCTCCTTTTTGTCTTAAAAATAAAATAAAATAGAGACATTTACATGTATATACACTCCTAACACTTAAATTTTGATTTTTATATTTATATCACATAAATTTTTTATATTACATAAAAATATCACTAATTTGCTTTTAAAAAATGAAGTACATTATTTCATGTCTAGATAATATGAAATATATGTAAAAAATTAAAATTAGATGTTAGATATATCAGAAAATAAGAAATGAGTTGTATGCCCATAATCTTATAATAAAATAAACAAGCAACTAAATTTGGGGACAAAATAACCCACGAATAACGAGTGGACTGCGACAGTCCCCACGGTGCCATAACCGGTCCAACCCGGTCTCAACCACGCCTAACAGCAGTATGACACTGGTCAAGGGCATTCTTGCAATTATTGGTGAAATGAACAGCTGTAAAAATAAGCGCAGAGCAAGCCCCGAGCAATTTTGGGCCGTCAATTTTCTTCCTTGAGATTGGTACATCTGCGGATACAACCCTCCGAATGCGGATCACTCCCAGCATCTTTGAAGGGTTTTTGCGACCCGGAAGACTCGACCAGCCACTTCTGTAGCCGCCGTCACCGTCTTCCTCTTCGTTCTTCACTCTTCACTGGCCGACGCATTCGTTCGGTATGCTGCTCTACATCCATATCGATTTCTTATTTTTATGCTCTTTTGCTTTGGTTTCTACTGCTTCCTTTAATTTTCCATCATTGCATGCTAGATTCCTGAGGTTCTTCCTAGGGTTTTTATTCATTGCTCCATATCATTCTTGTTCGGATAATAGAGGCTGGTAAGCGGAGTTGTGATTCGTTTCCATGTGCCTCCGAATCAGCTAGGTCTACATGGTTCATGATTTTGTTTTATTTTAACTCGTATTGGACTTCTAATGCTATTTGCTGAATTTTCTCCTTTGTTGGGAGCTATGTAGTTTGAGATTTTCGTCGGGGGCAAGATAGTTTGTGAAAATGCAGAGGACCTAAGTGACCGAGACAGGGGCTGCTTGATGAATTAAATCAAGTTGAATGATCCATTAATACTTGTAGGGATTTATTTGGTTTCGTGCAGTAGCTTGGTAGTAAGATGATCTCCTCCAGGTGTATGTTGCTCATATTAATTTTGTAAGAATCTACTACCTTGCTCTGAAATATGATATGTTCTTTTGCTCTAGTTTCCTATCCTTGCTGCATATTGCAACAAGTAGGGATTATATGATTTCTTATTGATATTATATGTATTCTGTACCTTAAAAATCTTTGTAAAAATTCAGAAACAAATGATGTTGGCAATGGAAGCTCTTCTAAGACAGGCTTTCCTCTGATAGAATTCTATCCTAAATTAAACAACAAAATTAATCATAACAATACATGGATTCATCCAGCATAAGCAAAGAATTAATGCATAATAATGCATGGAATAATCCTATGTAATAAAATGAACTAATCAGAATATTTCATAGAATCATCTCTCATGGGTAAAATTCTAATGCATAGAATTGCCTATTGTTGGTAATTCATTATTCCCCATTATTTGGATTGTGGAATTTGATGTTCAACTTATAGAGAAATAATTGGAAGTAATCACTTTCTAGAGTTTTGATGAAGCTCTGTTCAACATAACGTGTGAAGCAGGACACAAAACTCTTGCGGTCAGTTGTTTGTGGATTCCGCTATCGCCGGAGATGATTGAGTGCCTCTTTTAATTGTTTATTTCTAATTTTGTTTTCCTTTATTTCTTTAGGAAGTTTTCTTCCTTTGTTTATTTCTTTTTGGTTCTTACATGTTTCTCCAGTGTCTATTTACATATTTTCTATGAGGGGACTTTTATATATGTTGTGTAGGTTTGAATTTTTTGTTTTCTTATTTCATGATTTGAGAGACGTTTATCTGAATTTTTTTCATCGGAGTACTTTATCCTCCTTTTGCAAGTGATGTATTTGTATCTTACGTAGAAAAAGGTGGTAGAACCTTTTTATCACTTGTATCTTGCTGTTTTATCATCTGACTTGCTAATTTCATCGAGGATAGTTGCTGATGACATTGAACCTACTGTGTAACAACAGATTTATCCTCAAATCCTTTTCAAACACCACCGACTCCACATGTTAGCCTTGTCTAGCTATCCATAACCTCTTCTCCGCAAATCCTTTTCCCAAACATCTTCTATGAGCTCTAGAATGGTATCATCTAGTATTAGAGCCATTTTAACTTATATTTTAAAGATTTCCTACACCTAAATCAAGAGTCTATACAATCTAACCTAACGCCCCACAATTTTTTTCCCTCATACACCTAGAGTGATTTGCCTGCTTCTTTCGTGGTCACCCTGTTATGTATGTGCAAGCCAAACTACTGCCCTAAATCCTGCTTTGGGTGCGTCCCACCCTAACTCACTAGTGCTTGACTTGACTCTCCCCTGCGCCCTATCCAATGAAGAAGGAGAGGGCTGACCTATTGATGCCCAAGCCAGTTTGAAACAACTCCTGACCTCACATAACGAGCAAAGTTGTTTCTGAGAAAGGGGCAAGTCTCAAGGTTAAAGTGTGCTCTTTGAATGTTACTTTGCATCCTTATAATGAGTGGTTTTTTTGGGTTATGGCAGGACTTGAACTTGCGACCATTAGATTAAAAGCCCAATGTTCTACCAACTGTGCCATACACCCAATTTGACAATCAAGGTTGGTGCGGAAATAAGGGCGGCTTCGCCCCTTTTCTTCTTGACTTTCAAAATCAAACTCTTGTCTTTTCTTCTTATCATATCACAAGGGCATGGCTCTGTATGAGGCTCATACCGTGGAGAAAGTCTGGGAGTCTTTTCCACTCGTTGAAGATTCTTTTTGAAAAAGAAGGTCAACGGGGGAGACTACAGTTGCTCTCACTCAGACTATATACAAAAAAGTAAGGCGCTAGCTTTGAGGTGGGTTCGACCATTCACTTAGCCCTAGGCCTAATCCTAACCCCAAATCATATCTTCCTTTTCTATCAAAAATTTTATTTGAAGAATAGGATTTCATGCTGTCGATAAACTATCAACAAGATGTTTAGGAGCTCATTATGGAGGACATGTAGCGGGAAATCCTCCAATTGCAATAGAGTCTTGTCGCCTTTAGGATGAGACAATCTGGTGAGATCACCCGTAGCTACAACAATGATACACCGAAGCGAGAGGAGAAAGTGAATCCCTTATACCAGGTAGTGTCCAATGAGGAAAACTATTATCTCAACGATTTTGCATACTATATCAGGGAAGCCAAAATTGATTTGCCAAATTTTGATGGTTACATTGATCCATACGAATTCATTTAGTGGTTCCAGGTTGTGGAATGGGTATTTGAATACTAGGATATTCCACCGTACAGAATGGTAAAGCTAGTTGCATTAAATTAAAGAGGAGTGCATATTTGTTGTGAAAAAAATTGAAATGCTTATGCTAGTGAGAGGAAAAACCATAATCAAAGCTTGGTCTTAAGATAAAGAGGGAGATGCAATGTATGTATCTCCCAATACATTACATTATAAGACTTGTTCTTGAGGGAGGCTTCATCAATTACAATAGAAGATCTCTCAATAGAGGAGTACACAATTGAGTTCGAATAATTTATGTTGAAGTTTGAGCCAGTGGAGCCTTAGGAGAACACTATAACTCGATATTTTGAGGGATTGAGATCATCCATTGCAATGTGGTCCAATTACAACAATGTTAGACATTGCTGGATGTTCAGACCCTAGTTCTGAAGGTGGGGAGACACACCGTAGTATCAGGTCCATATCAACCTTCATAATTGGGTTTTGAAAATTGATCTGGAACGTCCGGTTTGACCGTGAACAAGTCACAAGTTTGATTTCAATTGACATAAAAACTTCTCCCACGTTGAACCAATTAGAACCGCATTGAACCAATGATTCAACTTGTGAACCTGGTTTGAAAGAGCCGTTCAATTCATCTTAACCTAAACAATTATGCGGCAAATCGAGCAAAACTAGAAAAGTACCCTTGCGCATGTATACCCCCATTCGTTGAGTCAAGTATCGCGAATGCCGCCTCATCCATCCAATCGCCACAGTTCTTAGCTTGGTAAGACTTGAATCCATGCCGAAGGAACTTGCAACGCTAGCGCTTTTACCATTGGTTTTGTAGGAGACTATGAGCTATTTGAGGTTGGAGAAGATGACAGAGATGTGGTCAAATTAGCTTGCCAGTCCCCAATTGGGCATTAGTTGGAGTTAATCTTACCCTTTTTTCTTCTTCTTTTGCAGTAGGGACAATACCCTCGTTCGAACTTCGAAGATTTCTTGGGAGAACGTTTGGAAGCTTACGGATGGAGAGGTCTAGCTAAGCAAGTAGATCAGGAATTTCATTCATTCTCTTTTCTTTTCACCCATTGTTCAAATTTAGCATTCCTATGTTTCCTCGATCATTATTTAAAAAACTCATTTGGCATCAACAATTACTGAGAAATGGCATTTCACTTCATGAATGAGGATCTTGACCTTTTTTTCTTGTAAGATTTACATTCACACCACACTTAAATTTGCCCTTTACAGCATGATGTATATCACACTTTTACTCATTAGTAACTCAGTATTATTCTTCTAAAGGTTTTTATACAAAATGGATAGTTTGCCTTCATCTGTTTGTTAAGGAACTAACATAGTAGTTTGCCTTCATCTGTTTTTTAAGGAACTAACATAGTTCCTACTATAGAAGAAATTTTTAGTCATTTAAATGAGTTGTTTAAGTTAACATATGATTTATATTTCATGATATATTTTTCATCCAATACATATTATGCTATTATTATATCATTTAAATTTTATTTAATTTTTTTTAAGCTATGATGTTACTCAGTTGTTTTTGCCATTATAGCTAGAGATGCATATCACACTTTTTTTTAAATTTGCCCTGACCTCACACAACGGGTGAAGTTGTTGCTGCCTATGGCTTGAGTTACTCTGACTTATTAATTTTAAATATTCTGACATATTAACTGTTGTGACCTCTAGCAAAAATGGCAACAGAAGATTGCAAGGACTTGCTTTCCAGTGGTAATCAGTCTGAAAATGTTGAAAATGACCTTTATAACGATGTTAATATTATGGCAACTTCATTTACGAGTGAACAGAATGAAGAAGCTTTTCTGATTGCTCTTGAAGACAAGAATGCTGAAGAAGTTAAGGCAAATGCTGTGCTGAAAATGGCAGCAGAAGTTTCAATGAAGTTAGTTGATGGGCATGACAATACAGATGAACTGGGTGACAATGATGTTGAAAATGACAAGAAGGTTGAAGCAGTAAATAGCTCTTCCAACAAGGAAACAAAGAAAATATTAAGGAAAAGGAAGAAGAATGCTGAAGACATCTCTGGTAATACTCTGTCATCTCCTTCCAAGACGCCTAAAAAGAAGACGAGTAATGTGAGTGCCATTAGGATAAAAGGATTGTCACCTTGTGATAAATCTACTGAAGGGAATGCGGAGAAAGAAGTCGAAACTGATGGCCAACCAGAATCCATTGGAAAGGCTGATGATGAAGTGGAGAAAGTAGATGATAAAGATGTAAAAGTTGGTGAGAAGGTCAAAGGGGCAGTGAGCAAAGCGGTCAGAATCGCAAAGAAGAAAATCGATGCGAAGCCTAAAGCTGGGAGTTCCAATGCTGAGCCAGCTCCAACTAAATCATCAAATGTTGCAGTTGTAGAAGCTTCTTCTAGTATGAAAGAAAATGCAAAACCAAATGTAAAAAGTGATGAGAATCCTGCATCTGCCACAAAAAGTGCCGTTCCTACAATCGAGGAAAAGGATGCAGAAGGCACAAAAGGTAAAAATATGAATAAGTGCAAGAAGAGGGTAGCTGTTAGTTATACTTCTTTTAGATGCTAATAAAGTGAATAATGCAGATAAACCAACTTCTACAAAGAAACATTTAACTGGTGATGATTCTGCAGAGAAACAATTAAAGAAGGTTGATGGTATGGGCTTGATATTTATGTGTAATGCTAAGACCAAGAAAGATTGCTTCAAGTACAATGTTTTTGGTCTCCCAGAAAGCAAGAAAGCGCTAGTAGCAAAGATTTATAAGGGTATGAGATTATTTTTATTTGATTTTGATCTTAAGCTGCTGTATGGAATCTTCAAAGCTGCTAGTCCTGGAGGCTACAATATTGAACCTAAGGCATTTGGTTCAAAATTCCCATCTCAGGTTAGGATGTGTTCTTCGCTTTTAATTTCAAATATTTAAAACTTGAACGTTCTTGTAGTTATTTATTCCATACAAATATTTTATTTTTTACTTGTGATTGAGTGGCATATGAAGATAAAGATGCGCATTATTGCTTTATTGAGATTGATGCATCCCTCTAGCATGTAATGTATAGTTACATTCGAGCAAAAGATACAAAAATATGCATTTTTGGTGGGAAACAGTCTTTTATTCTCATTATTTCTAATAAGTCTGATGAAAACTGAAAATGGTTTGAATTCAGTTTAAGTGAGATGATTTGTGTTTATAACTGGCACCAACAACAAAAAATTACAATCACGAAGTCATAGAATATGATTCTGGAATATAGAATAAGGCTTAAAAACATTTTAGAATAAGCTAAATTAGAATACAGCTAGCTATCAGGATTGGCACTTCAATAACCCAAACCCCATAGGAAACGGAGGATAGGAGAAACCATGAAAGAGCATAGCAATGTGAACCATTGAAAGCCATCACAGGGAACTTCAAAATTATGAGAAACCTCTTTAATTACTAAACAATTGCATAAATAAGTGAAGTACCACAGTATCGATTATTTTCATCTTGGACAAATTCATCTTTGATGAACAATTTAGCTGATATTCTTCTAACAAATAAGAATTTAATCATTGAGTTTTTCTTTGTAAACTTTCTGAACCGTCACATGCATTCCTATCTCTTGACTTCAAAATATACCTTTGTTATGCAACATCAACATGACATGATTTCACTGCTTACACCACTGACAATAGCTTCAATACGATTAACAGTATGATTGTTTGGGAAATGTATAAAGGATTTATTGGACACAAAATTAAGAGGCGGAAATGGAGAACATTGATGTTTTTTGGTGCAAAGCAGGGTTAAAGACATTAAAGTTTGGGCCTATAGTATATGATATAACATGATTTATAACTTTCATGCATTCACCCAATTCATTGCATAAATTTATATCCTTATATTTTTTTTTGTACTTAATTTCGTGATGGTTCTTGGGGGAAACCTTTTTTCATTTTAAAAAAATGATCTTTTCACTTTCATTGAATTCTATATGTGCGTTATAAATGTCTTCATTCTTATCACACTATTAGTCGGTAGAGTACTAGGATATATATGTGTTTTGATGAAATTCTTATTTTGCTTTCTAGTGGATACACTATGGATAAATCTGAAAAGGAAACATGATTTGATGATGTGAATTGAATATTTGTATGGTTACATAGAAACTTTTTTTGATAAATTACTAACCACACAACAACAACAACAACAACAACAACAACAACAACAACAACAACAACAACAACTGGCTACATGAATCCTTTTTCTCCATTGTCTTCTATTAAGTATCATATTTTCATTTAATTCTTTAAATTATGATCATATTTATAAACATGCCAAAATTTTTTTAGGTCTACCTCTACCTATTTTAACATAAGTCAAATCTAGAATGTCTACTCTGCTCACATGATCACTAACTGGTCAAAGTTTAATGTGACTAAACCATCTAAGACGACTCTTTGTAATCTTGTCTGCTAATGGAGCTATTCCAACCCAAACTTTACGAATATATTTGTTTTGTATTTTGTCTCTTAAATTTTAAAGCTACTCATCCATCTAAGCATTTTCATCTCAGCAACGCTTAACTTATTTTATGGATCTCTTTTATAGGATAACATTATGCATCACAAGGCATTACAAGTCTCACCACTATTTTATAAAATTTTCCTTTTAAGTCCAAGCATTACTTTTCTATCAACAATAGGCTCGATGCATTTCTCCACTTTAACCACCCAACTTAAATTCTACTAATAACATCATCGTCTATATCACCTTCCTTTGAACAATTGACTCGAGATATCTAAATGTTCACTCCTTCTAATGATTTGATCACCTATTTTTATACTTCGCCACTAAATCTACAATTACTAAAATTATATTTGATTTATTCAATTGTAGATCTACTCAAAAGAAGGCCTTTTGACCCTAAAGTTGACATCAATAAGTATTTCATGAACTCTTTCTCTAGTTTTATCTACAAGAACGATATCATCCGCAAAAATCATACACCAAGGTATATGCTCTTGTAAATGTCTAATAAGAGCATCCATAACTATAGAAAAAGATATGGCCTTTAAGCAAATCCCTGATGTAATCCAACTGAATTTGGAAAATACTTTTTCAATCGAAAATACTTTTTCAATCCTTTTACTTTTTCAATCCTTTTTTTGTTCGAACACAAGTAACAACTCTGTATACATATCTTTAATGACTTAAATATAAGTCATCTCTACATTTTTTTCTAGAACTTTCCAATGAACTTCTCTTGGAACATTATCATAAGCTTTTTCTAAATCAACAAAATTCATGTGTAGATCATCCTTACTCACTCTCTACTTCTCCATCAAACCTCTCAATATATGAATAACTTCCATAGTGCTCGACATAAATTCAATCCGATTTGAGAAATCTTTGTATCACGTCTTAACCCATAATTTTAATGTATGACACATTTACTTAATTTTTCTATAATTTGTACACTTATGCATCCCCATTATTCTTAAAAATAGGAACCAAAATACTCTTTCTTCGCTTCTCAGACATCTTTTTTTAATTTTTAAAATAATATTGAAATAATTTTTAAAATAAAATTGAAAAGTTCAGTAAACCATGAAATTCCCAAATCTCATAAATATTCTCACACTTGTATTCAATACCATTAGATCTTGCTGATATCTCACCAATCATTTTCTTTAAAGCCTTATCAACTTTCTTTTTTAGAATTTGGTTGATAAAAATAAAAAAATTATTATTCTTAACAATATTAAGACCATTAATGTTGATCATATTTTCGAAATCATCATTGAATGATTTATCAAAATATCTGTCACTTATGTTGAATATCCTCATCTAAGAAAAATACTTTTTAATTTTCTTCTTTAAGACACTTTATTTGAATTAAAACATTACTTTTTTTTTGTTTGGCTAGTTTATATTTATATCATTCACTCTCTAAATTATATAATTTATTGTAAAGATAACTAAAAATATAATTCTTAGTATCACAAAGTATTCTTAGTCTCCTTACAGATCACTTCATATTTTTTTAGTTATCTTAGATTTTACATTTAAATTAATTTTTATGTCAAAAGTTCTATATATTATCTTTTTTTGCACATTATTATTTCACGACCAACTATATATATATATATTGATTCTCTAAGTGCATGTTTAATAGTGTTTGTTACTTTATCCCGGGATAATATTAGCTTATTCATTAACATTCTAAATTTTAAGATCTTGAAGTTTACTCATAAAAATAGTTATATTTGTGTTTTTTAAGCGTCTCTATTTAATTCTATGATAATATTTCTTTGTATTTTTATCTTTAATGTTAAGTACTTAAATTTTCACTTGAAATGATGTTACAATTTTTACAACATTGTCGATTCTCATAAGAAAATAATCAATTTATGTTTTATTAGATTAATTCTTGGAAGTGATTATATGCTTATCTCTTTTTTTTGTACAATATTAGCAATTACAAAATCAAAGCTAAAGCAAAATTTAATTAGTGAGATAAAGACTTGTTGCTGTTGTTGAAAGCAAAATCCAATATAGCTTTACCTTTTTTATTATCATTTGTATTAATTTTTCTAGGTTATTCTAAATTTTTTTTTGAACGGTGCATAACACTTATACTATTAAGAATCTTAGTATCAACGATAATCTTTAGAACTGTAATTCTATCCCTAATTTTATTAATTTATACATCATTATCTTTCAAACTCTTTTCTATAATTACACCTACATCATTTTTAATATGAATCCCGCCTGAAAATCAAAGTTTAAAACATAAGTTATCAATCTTCTTGCTTTTTCTTCAACACATTTTGTTTTTTGAATGCATAAGATATTTTTCTTTTTATGAATTATAATATCTACTAATTCCGTTAATTTACCTGTAATTGTACTTATTTTTTAGGATGCTATCCTAATATTAGTTGCATGGACTAACTTCTTTTCTTGCATCCATCCATAACGTGAGGACTCTTGTTTATTTAACATTACCCCCAAGCGCCAGTTTAGCAGCCCTTGCACACTTCTTACTGTATCTAGATCATACAGTGCGTCGCTTTCAGCGGATACTAGCATCTTTGCAATGATTTAAATGATTTATGTCATAATTTTTTGACAAAAAATTTATGCTAGCTATTGACCACTTAACACAAGCCTTCATTTTCTCGTATCCGGGGCTTGGGACCCGACAATGACAGTGTTAAATGAGTAATAAGTTTAATTAAAATAAATCATGTTTAAAATTTCCTTAAAGAAAGCTACTCAAATGATTTAAAAACTTGACTAAGTGAATTAGCTACATTTGGAATTAACAGGGCAAAAAAATTGTTTGAATTTTTGGTTTTGTTTAGGCATTTAGGATGAATACATTCAAGAACATGTTTGTCTTCTGTAAGGGTTATGAATTTATAATTAAACTTTAGAAATAACAAATAATAAAGACTATTGTTTTTGATTGATTGACCTGGTGATAATATCAATAAATAATTTTGCAATTGTTATATTATCGCTTGTTCAATTGATTTATAACTCCAATAGCTATGTTTTGTTTAATTTCAAATTCAGGTATTGATTTAGGTTTTTAACTCGTGTATAGATTCTGTTTGTGATAGCATTATGTTTTTGTTTTACCGATTTTTTTTTCTTTTTTCAACAAAAAATAGAAGTACTTATGAAATATGAATAAACATATTTTTAATAAGAAAAAAATGTGCTAAGTAGGTCTTTTGGTTTTGATATAATATTTTTTTTTAGGTTTATTTTTTTATTTGCAATTCTTGGTTTTGTGTGTATGTAGGATCATGCTAATCACACGATAGATTCTATTTCTAGCATAAGTTAAACTTTAGGCTCTTCTTTCGATCCTTATTTATTAAGTTTTG